GAGCTCAAGGGTACACTTTCTAGTCTTGGCGCCACTTTCTTCCTGGATGCCATTCGGAAGGCGTTTTTTTTCCCCATCCTTGGGATTCCCAACACCTCAAGAAATGGTCTGTACCCCTACAGTGACAGGTGTGGTAGATCCGACCAGAGCCCAGTTCTGTGGCGGCCAAGTCTGTTCGACTTCAGTGTTCCCTTTCAGAGCAGTGGCATGGCTTGGCCTTCCCCAGTTCCACATTTGGGCCAGGATGAAGACTAGCAGTGCAGCAGGGTGACCAAGCCGCCGGAAGGGGGGCAGCTATAGGCGGCGAGGAAATCAGGTCTGCCAAGGAGGAAGCAAGAGTCCTGGTGGAGAAGATAAGCCCAAGGAAGCCTGGGTGCTGGCCGCCGGAAGGGTATACCAGCACCAGTAAGGCAATTTGGAGATCCTCCAGGAAGCAGTTTTCAGGAAAGCTTGTAGAAAGTGGTTTCTGCATCCCTCCACTTAGTCTTGGAAGTCTGCCCACCTAGTACATCCTTCTGGCTCTCCTAGACTCTCTTCCTGTGTCTCTCCAGTGAGCGCTTCACCCTCTCCTTCTATGGCACCCAAGGAACCTCGGTTAAGCCAAACCACTTCCCAAATGATTCTGGTGTACGTAGTCTAACAGGCTGAAAAGGGAGCGTTGTGCCAGGCTCAGGAGCCGGGGCCTGTGCCGGCTCCAACACACAAACCCGGCTCTACTAGCCCTACAGGCTGCTCCCCAAATCCGAGACACAACAAAGACTAAGAGTCTAGCAGATTTTGGCCTAGTGCCCCCAGACCCCTTTCCAGGGCTGTCCCTCTGCAGTTTAATCTCTTCCTTTCTGGGGTTATCTGGAGGTCTTCCTGGCTCCAGTCTAAGTTGGGTCACAGTCTGCAGGCCTGTCCTTCTTTCTCAGGTGAGCACACACAGGAGACCTCGACCTCCGTGTCCGCTGCCCTGTCCTCCCCACCATCCTTTGATTTTAGCCTTTGTTTGAAGGCGGGTCCCAACGACAGCATCAGGAGCCTAGAGCTGCTTGCCTCCCGGGTGGAGGCATTTCTGCCGCTGGCCTTACTTCCCACCCAGCATCCAAAGCCCAGGGTGTGGGCCTCCTCGACTCCCGCCAGGGTGCGGGTCTGACCAGGCCTTATTTTGCTAGGACGGAGAAGTCTCTCTCTGGAGCTGCTCCACCGAGCGACCGACGAAGACCTCGCACTCGCTGCTTTCGTTATTTCCGGCAGTTCCCGCACCACCTAGAGCAGCGAGGGCAGTGCAGGATGGGCCGAAAAAGCCACCGCCCCAGGGCTCCGTCTCCAGAAGGGGGGACAACAAACCACAACAAAACAAAAAGCCTGCGACCGACGCTGGATGCGCAGCCAGGCTCCCGCATCTGCGGCAGCTGCTTTCGATTGCAATCCGCTTCAGAGTTACTAAGTACGCTGTGTGGACGTCGCTTCCCCCTTTGTGCCCTCCGAGGCCTCTCTTTGTCCGCTAGCCTCGGACACAGCGAGCAGAGTTCCATGTAAGCGGGTGCTTTGCGGGCCCGCTGTTGGTCCCTGGTACATGCTGAAAGGAAACGGTGTTCCGAGGCCGCAACGGCCAGAAACGCTCCAAGAGGGACAGATGGCCGCTGCTGGTTCCTCTAATGGAGCACGGAGGTCTGCGGACATGGGGCGCTGAAAGCCGAGGAGAGCCCGCGCAGCGCAGTGGCTGAGCCGAAGAAGCTAGGGCGCTGGTGTCTCCTCATCTCAGACTCAGGGTAGAGCAGATCTGGAAACGTGTCCTTCAAGACATCCCGCAAAAGCACCGCCACCCCTATCCCAGAAGGCGTAAAAGGCCAGACTGAACCCCCAAAACGCACTAGAAGCCTCTTGAAAGCCGGATCGCTATTTGTGACACTTGGAATTTCCCCAACCCCAAGGTACTATGGCTTGAAGTACCTTCACCTCAGCTTCGCCCATTGGAAAGGGTCCTGGCCCTTTGCTTGGAGCCGGTTCTTAAGGGTAACTCTTTCCTGGAGTTTTCATTTGGGGTAGCTCCATAACCACCTCGGTATTTGTTTTTGGGTTCCTCTATCCTTTCTTCACAGTTCTGCCTTCTACCTTCAGCCCCTCCCTTCCCGGGAGCACCCTGACAACTCGCCTCTGTTCTTGGCCTAGCTGGGCTTGCTCTGGGAGACCCAGGCCCAGGAACAGCCTCGGTCCTGGAGGCAAGGCTGTTCTGAGGGTTTATGTTCAATTTGAGTCCCGGGCAAGGAAAAAGAGTACAAAGTCCAGCGCCTTTGGCTTATCTAACGCTAGAGCAATCTATCCGAGGCAGAGGTCCCCAAGAAATTAGAAAACACACCAGGTGAGGGCCTGTTTTCATGGGACAGGTAGGGAAACAGACTCGGAATGGGCGCAGGAATGTCTGAGCTCTAGCAGTCCATATGTCCTCTAGTTTAGGAGACAAGAAGAAATCAGAGCGTTATTCACTGGTTGGTGATAGCTCAAGTCCCCAAGTCATGAAATGGTTTTGTTCATCTCTGCTCACTGGTCCCATGTTCATAGAGGCAGGTAGACTATGGGGTTTCTCCTTTCTCTTTCTCTGCCCTGCTCTGTCTCTCACTAGGAAGGACCCAACAGGTATTTTCCTAGTCAAAAATTTTGGTGAGGCTGCTGGTGGTGGCACATGCCTTTAATCCCAGTACTCCAGAGGCAAAAGCAGGTGGATCTCTGTGAGTTCAAGGCCAGCCTGGGTCTACAGCAAGAGTTTCAGGACAGCTAGGACAGTTATATAGAGAAACAAACCCTATCTCAAAAAAACAAAACAAAAACAAACCCAACAACAACAACAACAAAAACATTAGTGAGGACCCCTTCAAACCAGAAAAATGGAGACAGGAGGAGACACACCCTTCCCCTTAAGTGCAGAGTGGCTTTGCCACTTAGACACCCTGTCTGTCTTTAGCACCTACCCTGAGTCCTGGTGGGAGTTGTCTCTGTGTGCTAACATTCCCTGGAGCAGCCTTTGGGAATTACTGCCTCTGGTGAAGCCTGCCAGGTGGACACTGTGCATGAGGAGGACATGGCTGAGTGTGAGTCCAAGTCCAGACACAACCCCCAGCAAGGTATGCCCTAAGTCTGGATAAGCTGGCGAGCCTCCATGCCTGGGCGCTGCTAGCCATTATCCTTGCCCTTCACCAGGACCTGGCAGCCTCTTACAGGTGCCACCTGGAGTTCAGGTGTGGTGGCCCACCAGGCAGAGTGTCTGAACAGCAGCAGCCTGGGGCCAGTCACCCAGCAAGGCAAGTCTGGGACCTCCCTCTGCTCTGATCCCAGGCCGTGTGAGGACTTTTATTATTATTCCAGCACTCCTGTGCCCTCTCAGCTGCCCTTCTGGGTGTTTCTCAAAGTTAATAAATTTCCATTAAAATGCTTTTTTTTTTTTTAATGGACAGGCGAGCCTGTAGTAACCAGTATGTTTGGTGGGGAGAGAAAGGCAAACTGGAAGGACCCTGGGGGAGGTGGGAGGAAGAGAATAGAGAAGGGCCATTCTGTCAGCAACTGGGGAGAAGTTTAGAGGGGGAATAAAGACAAGGGAAGGGGAAAACAAATTGGGGCCCGCACCCTGTCACAGCATTCCTATTCTTTCAAATTAGCCTTGCTTTCCCGCAAAACCAGCTTAAATGTTTTAAGACAAAGATAATGACATGGGTGGCCTGGTAGCTCAGTGTAGGGGTTGGAGAGTTCTAATGACGGTGTGTGTGTGTGTGTGTGTGTGTGTGTGTGTGTGTGTGTGTGTGTTGCCAAATTGCCCGCACAGCTGCATTCAGGAACACTTTTGCTGCGGATGGTTTTGAAGATTTGTCTAAGCAGTCATCACTCCTGTCTCAAACAGAAGACTGTGTTATAATCCTTCTCGAATCATTCCTTTATTTCTTCCTTCCTTAAAGGGAGCCCTAAATTGTGCTCGCATAGCTAAAACTCTATGTTTGAGTTCCCGAGGAGCCACTGTCCACGGGTGGAATCCTTCCGTATGCACGCGCCGCCTGCACAGGCACAGGCATGCATGCTGAGAGTAGGTGTCTGTAGGAGGAGCACCCTGCGTTCTCGCCTGGCGATTAGGACTGGATGCTGCTAGATAACTGAAGTCAAATGTAAGTGACAATTTTCCTCTCCACCAGCAAGGAAAACGGGTTACAAACCTCCCTTTGTATCTTGGTAGCTCATTTAATCTTATTTATGCATTTTTGTGCAAGGAATTGTGGGATCTCTCCCCACCGTAAACAATATAGGAATGTTAAAAATAACGATCTTCCAGCGCCTGTCCACTTAGGCATAGCAGTGACCTGGCGACACTGTCACAAGGTTCCTCAGTTTTCCGAGCCGAGAGGAGACCGGAGAGGTACTAACGAGCAGAGCGACGGATCTGGCTAGGTTACAGGCTCCCGCGCCCGGAGCCCTGAGCGCGGCCGCTTTAAGGGGGGGGAGGGGAGGCGGCGGCGGGGGAGGGGCGGCAGGCGGTTCCTGTCACCAAGCCGCCGCCGGCGCGTCACGTGGATGCGCGGCGCGGCGGCCATTGGCCCGAGGCACGTGTCCAGGAGACCGGCCCGCGACGTCACTCGAGGGGGCTCTGTTAAAAATAAGAACAAAAATCCAGAGTGAAAGTGTCTCAGGTTGCGCTAAGTGGCCTGAAATTTGCCCGAGCCCGCGCGGAAGCCGAGGCGGCGAGGGCGCGCAGACCGGGAGGGAGCGCGGGAGGCCCAGTCCCGCCCGGCCTCCCGCCCCTCACCCATGCGGCTCTGGCCGCGGTACTGCGCGGGGCTCAGCGGGGGCGCAGCCGCTCGCCCGTGGGGCGCCCCGGCCCGCAGCGGGGCGGCGGCCTGGCGCGGGGAGCCCCGGGGCGGGCGGAGCGCAGCGCGGGCCCGCGGGCCTCCATGTGCGTGTTGGCGGCGGCGGGCGCGCTGAGCGCTCGCGCCCCGCAGCCTCGAGGGCCGGCCGGGCCAGGCGGGCGGCGACGGCCGAGCGGTGGCGGCCCGAGCGGGCCCCGGCGGCGCTGAGCGCGGAGAGCGCGCTGCCTGCATGCGTGCAGCTCTGGCCCGCGGTGGCCGAGGCGGCGGCGCCGGAGCCCCAGGCTGCTGGCCACCGAGAGGAGCGCGGAGCCGGGCAGACGTCCCAGGTCCCCGCAGGAGTGCGGTGACCGTCTAAAGCCGGGTGCGTCGCCGAGACCCGGACCTACCTCCTTTGAATCTCCCCGCGTCCCGGCCAGGCGGGAGACTCTGGTTATTTGCTAAGGCACTTCGTGGATCCGAACGTGGCTCGGCTCGGAGCACGCCCGGCGACCTGTAGGACTCCAGCCCTGGCCGCGGCCACGGCTCGCGGCTTTGGAGGACTCGGCTGGGTAGGGGCTCGCGGGTGTCGGTGTGTGCGGCGCGCGGGCCGGCCGGAGGTTGCTTTTGGAGGAGGGCCGGTGGAAAGGTGGTTGGGGATTTTCTGTGAAGCATGGAGGAGAATGATTCCAAGCCCAGCGAGGCAGCGGCGGAGGCGCAGAGGCAGCCGGAATCCAGCCCTGGCGGCGGCTCCGGTGGCGGTAGCAGCCCTGGCGATTCGGACACCGGCCGCCGGCGGGCTCTGATGCTACCCGCCGTCCTGCAGGCGCCGGGCAACCACCAGCATCCGCACCGCATCACCAACTTTTTCATCGATAACATTCTGCGGCCTGAGTTCGGCCGCCGAAAGGACACGGGGACGTGCTGTGCCGGTGCGGGCGGAGCGAGAGGCGGCGAAGGCGGCGCTGGCGGTACAGAGGGTGGCGGCGGCGCAGGCGGAGCCGAACAGCTCCTGGGGTCCGGCGCCAGGGAATCCCGGCCGAACCCAGCGTGCGCACCCAGCGCCGGAGGGCCGCTCTCCGCCGGTGGCGGCGACTCTGCGGCTGACGGAGAAGGCGGCTCCAAGACACTTTCGCTACACGGCGGGGCTAAAAAAACCGGCGACCCAGGGGGTTCCTTGGATGGGGCGCTCAAGGCCCGAGGCTTAGGCGGCGGTGACCTGTCGGTGAGCTCCGACTCGGACAGCTCTCAAGCCAGTGCCACCCTGGGCGCGCAGCCCATGCTCTGGCCGGCTTGGGTCTACTGCACGCGCTACTCTGACCGGCCTTCTTCAGGTGAGCCCGTGGGACCGGGTGTCCCAGCCCGCGCGACTGGGGAGGGCTCTTCCCGGAGAACTTACACAGAGGGAAAGAATCACATTTTCTCCTGAACACACACACAAAGGCGCACACTCCTCACCGACAGCGGCGGCCCTGTCTCGCCAATGCTGGACAGAGCAGCGGCCAGGCAGTTGGAAGCAGGACTGGTTCCAGGGATACAGACTTAGGACAGTAAAAACAATCTCTCTCTCTCTCTCTCTCTCTCTCTCTCTCTCTCTCTCTCTCTCTCTCTCTCTCTCTCTCTCTCTCTCCCCCCCCCACTTTCCCTTTTTGTGGACATCTTCTCGATGCCCTTAATGCCCTGCCCCACAGCAGTTCTTTAGTGGGGATGGGGGTAGCTGGAAGGTCCTCAGGAAGTGAGCACTGAGTCGGTCCCCCGCCCACGCCCCCCGCAAAGTCTGGAACCCGGAAACTCTCTGCCACCCTCAGGTCCAGAGTCCCTCCCAGAGCCTGTGATTCCCAGGCTGGGTGCTCTTCTTCTCCACTCTTGGCCTAGGGTGACCACTGCGGAGGAGCAGAGGAAGGGCTGCTGGGAAGTGGTGAAGACTGAGACGCGTTTCTCCTTTGTCACTTTATTTGGCGAACCACGTAGTAGCATCCCAGCATCCTGCCAGTAGGCAGCTTGGAGAAGGTGCAGCCATCCCAGGGCCTCCATCCCCCTAGTAGAAAGGAAAGCTTCAAGGGTTTTATGATGCTGCCTAGAGTGAGAAAAAGGTAGCTTCCAGGGGTAGGGGGGAGAGGAGGTTTGGGACATATTTTCTTCATTCATTTACAATTTTTAAGACCTCAAAAAAAAAAAAAAAACCACCAGCTACATTAGATGCGGGTCTGCGATTAGACGCGCCATTAGCAATGGGTTTCATTTGTCCGGGAGCTGAGAGAGGCCCCGCTAACCTCCCCCCCGCCCCCAGTTGTTTTACGGGTGTCCTTTACCTATGTACCTAGCAAGACTGGGTCGCTCTCGACTGCCTTCTTGCAGCATTCTGTGTGTTTCTGATGAAATCCAAATTTTTGCTGCTAGACCTGAAATTTGCTCCATTGTTCTCGCCTCCCTCCTTTGTTAATATTTAATTAACATATAGGCTCACAAAGCCGACTGGCCTTGAGTCGCGGTCGGCTTTGTGCGGCGACAGCGCACGAGTCCGGGCCGCGCCAAGCCCTGGCGGCCCGCGGATCCTGTAGCATGGCCCGCGTGGCTCGTCTCGCAGTTTTCCTAGGCTTAACGAAACCCCTTCCCTGTAAGTAATTTTTCTTTTCTTGGCGTTTAAGAAAGAAAGGAGGGGCAGAAGGTACTTGCTGAGGTTTGACTTTGTTTCCCTGAGTCCCCTAAGAGTTTGCCTTTTAAAAGAGAATTCACAGGAAGAGGAACCGAAAGTACGGTCTTAAGGAGACGTTCTTTCTCTGAAATAAGAATTATCGGAGGCTGGAGTGTGAGTTATAGAACACGAACCTCAGGGTGGAGGAGGCTAGAACACAGAGATCTGGTTCTTCCCGGGGAGGGAACGAGGAGAGTCTGAGATCCGCTCCAGAAGTGGGAGGTCAGGACTGAGTAGGCCAGGCCTCTTCCATGCTGAGCCTCCTGTCCTAGTATCTTTGAGGGTCCCAGGGTCCGCCCATGGTCCTCGAAGCCTCACTGACCAGGTAAAGCCAGGTCCAAGGGCGCCGAACCCCGCTCCCTTGCCCTCAGCATGGATGCGAAGGTGACTGTGTGTAGCGTGGCTGGTGTGTGTGACCATGGATACACCCCAAACACCAGGAGTTGGATCTGCACCGCCCTGGATCTCCTCTGGTGCTCACAGAAGACCCTTTTGGGTTTGCCCTCTGATGAGAGCACCCAGATCCCACTCGGCTGGTGGTGAGAGAGTCCTCACCGGCCCTGGCTCTGCTGGCTGCCCCTGACGCCTGCGTGGGCACCACTCTGGACAGCGGGTGGACGTACTACGCAGTCGGTTCCCTTCGCCACCCCCGCCACCCCCGCAGCGCAGGGCAGAACATTGAGTCCCTGGCCCTGAAGGGGGAGGGTCCGGCCCTTTCCAACCTCTTCCGCTTCCAGCGGAAGGGGCCTCCGTGAAGGGACGGCAAAGCGCCTCGAAAGTTGATTCACGCTCCTTGCGTAGAGGAAGAACCAGAAAGAAGGTCTCTGCTTCTAGCCGGTGGCCTGCTGGCCTTTCCTTCACCCTGGGAACCTTCTGACCCCGACAAAGAGAACCCTCTATCCCAACACTCTTAACACTTTAGCCTTTCCCTCGGACGCCTAGGTCCTGGGACCTTACCACCCACCACACTGGCCTCAAACCCGGCCACTCCACAGGGAAAAGGGGTGGGACCAGTAGTGGAACCCTTCGTGAGGAAGCTGTCGAAAGGGTCACTCTATGTTCTTCCTCAAGGTCAGTGGAGTGGCCTGTTTCTGCTGAAGCAGCCTCGGGCCTGGGGTGGGCAGTGAGAGGGGCAAGCCTCCATGGTCAGCCCCTGGGCAGGAACCAGGCCCCTCTCCGAGGCGGAAGGACTCAAGGGGGAGATGCCAGAGGCTCAGGAAAGGACGTGGTGCTCCATTAGAGTCCTTCAAGGAAACAATGAACTTGGGCTCATCAGGCCACACAAGAGGGGGGCTCCGGTGATAGCCCAGCCCTGAACTCTCTTTGTGAACCTTACTGCCTTTGGCGCCCTGTTGGAGGTTATGTAGGGAAGGGGACAGGATCCCCCCACCCCCACTCCCCCACCTCGACTGACTAGCCTACCCTCTTCTTCAATCTTACCCCATCCTCCTTGCTGGGACAGTCTTGGAAAGAGAGGAGAGAAAACCAAACACTAACAAACAAGGCCAGAAAGTTTTTAGTTGGGCATTCCTTCTTCAGTTATCTTTTATTAGGATCCCCTAGTTTGCTATAGGCCTTTTAGCTAAATCTGCCAATCCATTTCATTTCCACTCCCGCCCACCCCCCACCCCACTTTCCTTCCGGACAGTGGTTTACCACACCCACACCCCCACCCCACCCCCACACTCACAACCCACACTGTTCAGCCTTGTGTGGCCTTGGGCGAGTAATTTTCCTCTGGAGTCTCTGGAACCTCTCAAGCTTGGGTGCGGGGGGTGGGGGGGGATGTGGAGGGTGGGGGGTGCAGGGGCTGCGGGTAAGCAGGTACGCTCCAGCAACCAGTAATCTCTGCCCTCTCTCCTACAGGTCCCAGGTCCCGAAAACCAAAGAAGAAGAACCCGAACAAAGAGGACAAGCGGCCGCGCACGGCCTTCACTGCTGAGCAGCTGCAGAGGCTCAAGGCGGAGTTTCAGACCAACAGGTACCTGACAGAGCAGCGGCGCCAGAGCCTGGCGCAGGAGCTCAGCCTCAACGAGTCTCAGATCAAGATCTGGTTCCAGAACAAGCGGGCCAAAATCAAGAAAGCCACGGGCAACAAGAACACTCTGGCAGTGCACCTCATGGCACAGGGCCTGTACAACCACTCCACCACAGCCAAGGAGGGCAAGTCGGACAGCGAGTAGGGCGAGCAAGCAGGGCGGGCGGTCTAGGGCCGCGCGAAACAATGCAATAATTTAAAAACCGTGAACAAAGGGCCAGTGTATAAAGATTATACCAGCATTATCTGTGAAAATCCCGTGTATTAGCTATGGTTCTACAATAATCTATGTACATATAATTTACAGGTGGTGTAAAATCCAAAATATCTGACTATAAAATATTTTTTGAGTTTTTTGTGTTTAAGAGGTTATGCTAATTTTATGTTATTATTATTCTTTCTGCAAAGGGGGCTGTTTAGGGTTTCAGCTTTTTCTTTTTCTTTTTTCTTTTTTAATCCCTTAAGCTCCATTATGGGACATCGGACACTTTTTTTTTTTTTCGAAAGAAAAAAAATTAAAACAACTTGCTAAAGTCCAAAGATTTTTATTGCTGCATTTCACAGGACTGTGAACCGAATAAATAGCTCCTATTTGGTCTGTGGGCTCTGCCGCTTGCTTTGTGCTGGCTTGGGAGTGCTGTAGGAAGTGCAAGCCTGGTGATGGAGAGCTCTGGGCTTCCGTGGGGAGAGAGGACGCAGTTTTTTGGCTGAGGTCCGAGGAAGTCCACGCAGGCCCACAGCTCTCCAGGCACCTCTCCATGCTGCCTCCTACTGTCTCTCCTCCCAACCACCTCAGAGGCCCGCGCTGGCCACCACCGTATGTCTGCTTCTGTGTCGCTGATCCCTGTCCTGCCACAGCCCCGTAGCGACCTGCCAGCGCCAACTCTTCCACCTTGAACACTGTGGGGAGCGCTTGGGGTCTAGGAAAAAGGGGAACTGTGACCTGAAGGCTTGAAGGCTTCGCTGCTGCGGGGACAGCTAGCCCTGACCCAAAAGCCCTACCGAGATCAGCTTCAGGGCCTGGCAGAGCGAGTTGGTATGTCTTCCTTTCCTTTTTCCTCCCTTTTTCTTTCTCCCTTATTTTTGAGTGGTGAATACATGTATGTGTACATACTCGTGTATGCATGTGCACGCATACCCCAGGCCTGTGTGAAGCTGGGGTTCTGGAGCTTGCGGCTACCTTGACTCTCAAAGGAACTCGGAACCCTCCTGAATCTAGAGGAAGTGTGTAAATAATCATTTCTTATCACTTTTTGTCTTTTTTTGTTTTGTTTTGTTTTTTAAAGAAAATATACATTTTATTTTTTGAAGGTGTGGTACTGTGTAAATTAAATATATTCAATATATCCCTCACCAAGTACATATATATATAAGCAAACACATTATATATAACTCCACACTGTCTTCTGTTTAGTGTATGGGAAAAGGTGTCCAAATGCCCACCTGGGGCCAGCCCAGAGGCCCAGGGGTGTTCTCAGCTGAGCTGGGAGTCAAGCTGCCTGCTGAGGACTGACGGTGGATTTCTCTCTTTGCCTTAAACCTCTTTATTTCACTGCGCCAATACTTTCACTTTGTACATATTAGTGCCAACCTTCTGAAAAGGAAGCTATAAAAACAAAAGTTGTAATTTAAAAGTCTGTGAACAACCATTTGCTGCTTGGGAATCGGTGAAACGACATGCCTTTTAGCAGGAAGCAAATCTGTCCTTTTTTAAGTTTATAAGATGTGCATTTTACAGTATCAAATATTTATAATCTTATGAGAAATGGATGAATGTTCCCTACCTACAACTGTGGTTATCAAAATTGTGAACATTCCCACCCGTGCATTTTTGTGTGTTCAAATTCTTGAAAGTTACATTAAATAAAAAGAAACGACTCTTTATTATAAAATGTTGGCAGTGGAAGGTGGACTTTTTCCATGCTTCTGTCTGAGCTCAGGAACCACTCTGAGGCGGTCTCCCCAACATCCAGGTGCTGCACCTAATCTTGAAACAAGAGGAGATCGTTTCTTTTAAATACTGACCTTGGAATATCTAGCATGTAAACACAGAACAGAGGAAATAATTTTAGTCTCCCGGAGGAATGAGTCAAAGCATGCTGCTTCCACTCACTGGAGTTTCTCCAGTATGGAAAATTCTAACTAACAGGTTTCCCTACCCCTCCCCACTGGATGCATGCTGGATGCAGGCGCTCACTGCTGGCTGGGTGGAAGAACTTGTCCTGGAGATAAATGCTACTTCTGTTTCCTCCACCTCCAACCCCCAAAGCAAAGGACATTTCCTGCTTGATTCAGGGGAAGGGGGGGGGGGCGGTGCTCTGGAGTGGCTGGCTCTGAGGCAGGGTGTTGTGCTGTTCACGAAGCCAAACTGCTGTATTTCCAAACTTTCTTGGCTTGAAAGAAAGATGTTTTGTTTTCCCAGGAAGAGAAACTCAGTGTCAAGGATTGTTTGTTGCCAAGGGCGACCTTCTAGGCAGTTTGAGTAAGACACTGGCCACTGGGCCATCAGGGATTCCCAGGCAGATGCTGGACCACAGCTCCTGCCACTCAAGGGACCCTCAAGGAATAGGGTTGGGCCCACTTTGGGGGCACCAAAGCGAACAAGCCAGGGTCCCCATTTTCTACACACCTCTGAGAGTTTAGCTTCAAAGCACTGGCACAATTTACATTAATCTGTTGGCCTCCCTCCATTTTAATAAAAACATAGCAACATCCATCTATTTTCAAATCGTAACACTGTTGGGGAGGGTGTACAGCATCCTGAAGTAATGAGCTCCCAGGTCCCACAGGCAGCCAAGCAGACGCCAGCCTGCCAATAATGCCAGGTTTTTTGGATTTTTTTTTTTAACTTTGTTTTGTCTGTGATACGGGATTGAACTGGAAGGGCTTCAGATCCTTGGGTTACTGCTTGCTTTGGCCGGTGTTCCGCGCTCTTCTTTTTCTTCAAATGCAAGTTACCGGAGATGGTGAGTCACGCTGAGCCTGAGCTGTGCGAGCTTGATCTCTCACCTGGAGGAAGCCAAAAAACAAAAAAACAAAACAAAAAAAACCAACAACAACAAAAGAAAAAAACAGTTCCCACCAGCCGGGAGTATAAGGCACCTTCCTAGGTACTGCAGATCCCCAGATTCTGACTGGGCCTCTGCAGAGCTGTGTGCTTTGGAGATGGACACCCAATGAAGACACTGGAGCATCAGGGAGCTGGGCCACTCGGTTCTGGCTAGAAAGTCACCCTGCAGGAGATGGGAATCCCAAGTAGGAGAGGAAAGTTCGTTTGTGAAGAAATCCTTGCCTTTTGGATCTCAATCACTCTTCCTGCCCCGGCCTTGGTATGTCCCAGCCTCACCCACGCCAGCTCCTTCCACAGTTCTCCACAACCCACTGAAACGAGAGGAGAGTCCCGCAATTCAACCCAGAGAGAGCTGTGACCTGCAGGCCCCACGAGTTGGCCCCCAGCAACGGTGTTGACGGAAAAAGCCCAGCCTGACACTCCAATGAGATGCTCTTGCTGACCTAGTTCTGGGGGCCTGCACTGTCGTCAGAACCTGGGGGTCCACTCTGCCCAAAGTCTGTCCAGTGTGGACTTGGCTCCAGCTTCCTTTTAAGGAGGGGGAAGAAGGAGACTCCTCGGTGACTCCAACTTAATCTCACAGAATTCCAATGCTGTGGTTTTTTTTTTCTTGAGTGGACAGGACAAATGTAGGGGGACTCTGGCCGCCTGACACTGGTGGAACTGGTGCACACCACAAATACCCAAGCCCCATGTCTGCCTTGAGTACCCCAGTTCCTGTCGGCCTTGAGCTCAGGCTGGAAGATAGAGTTTTTGGCAGTCGTCTGTGAAAAGTCATTCTGTGCCCTGCTGGTTTAATATCCGACCTCCGTGGTCTCCTTTTGCCTAGGCCCTTCCCTTGGAGCCCCAGGAGAGTCCCGGCTCCACCGAAAACTGCAGCCTGCCAGGAGGAGCCGCCTCACACTGAGAGGTTAATAAGGACTGACGCAGACACAGGGCCATGGCACCACCCCTGAAGGCACGGATTGCGCCAGCGAGGCAGAAATCGCCCTCCCGAGACTGATCTACCCCCACCCCTGAGCTCCCTACGCGGGGCCTCGGGGCTGGAAACCCCTTCTTTGCGTCTTGGTTCCATCCCGATGGAGGGCTAGCTGTATCTGGGCCTAGAAGTAGGGGAGTCAGGGAGCCACAGAGGGGTGCAGCGTTGGGTTCCTCGGACTCTAAGGCAGCGCCGGGCGCGGCGGGGAGCGCTGGTGCGCGCATTTGCAAGCAAAGCCCATAACGCCTCACAGTTGCACGACTGGAACCCTGAGTAGACCATGCCTGTTTTTTATTAATAACCTCAAATACCTCATTATGCTTATGCTGCCTGCCCATGGAAAAGAAAAGGGCATTCTTGAAATCGCCGGAAATGTAATAATATTCATTAAAGTCGTTCCTAATTATATGATTTAATCAAGCGTGGTGGGCCTGCGCTTTGCTCTTGCCTGCAAGAAAATCAGAGGGTGGTGTTACTATTGTTAGTGTTGGTATGGCCTCGTCCTGGCCGCCAGTAAGACTTCCAGCTCTTCAGCTGAGGCCCAGTCCCCTCAGATGAATTTAGGGGCGCTCCCCTGAAGGCAGGGTTCCCCTGGAAAGACTGCCTAGTTGTGAGTACGAGGTAAGGTTCAGGCCTAGTCCCAAGCAAGGCCTAAGCTACTCCTGGAGCTGGGCAAGATTTCTACTGGCCCTAGGGACCATCTGTGTTCCCGGGGGAACACTAGGGAGGCTTTCTGGGAAAACAGAACTTCGGGTCCCGCCCCCTCCAGGGCTGAGTCCCGCGCAGTGCCGGGAGCAGAAACAAAGAGTGATGGAGAGGGATCTGCCTCCCGGCTGCCTTTTTACCCCCTCAGCCTGGAAGTCGTCCCAGAGAACACTTTCCCCCCGGTCCCCACCCCCAAGACACAGAGGAATGAGGAGTCGTGCCCCGCGCCACTTGTTCTTTACAGAGGGGGTTAGATGGGCAGCTAAGACGGGAAGGGCAGGGTCCCACCCAGCCTCGGATCCTCTGTGGGGGCTAGAAAAGGTGGCCCTGTTTGGTCACTGATGGCAGGACCGTCTGGGGGAAAGAAAAACAGGCCTGGCCACTGCTTGCTGTTTGACTCATCTGTCCAGACGCGAAACTTGGCCGCGTGGTCCCAGCGCGCTGCCTGCGGAAGGGGCTGACTTCGCTCCTTTCAGCTGGCGCGTTGGGGTTCTCGCCTCCCGCCAGGTCCTTTGTCTGGAAGGGGGCTGTCAGGCCCTGTCATCCCGGCTTGCCCTCCTCCTTTCCCCAACCTCTACCCCCTCCACTAACTTCCTTTTCTCTTTTCTCTCCTTGGATGGATAGTCAAAGGCCCCAGCTGCAGCCCAAGGAGCGTCTGCCCCTCCTGTTGCGACTGCCCGCTTCCCCGCGCGGGTCGCTAGGACATCCCTCGGTGCCCAGGGTTTTGCTTCTGGCCTTCTCCTCTAGACCAAAACTTGTCTCATGGTTTTGGGGAGCTTTGCTCTCCACTCTCAGCATCAGTAATACATCGAATTAAGGAAGCTGGAGTTCCATTATATTTAGGCATCAAGAGAGAGCACAATTACCTGCTCCTTGCAAAATTCTGCTCCTGCCAACCACCCCACTGTTACTATGGGCTCCCCGGATTTTTTTTATTGCAGTAAAACGTCAACATTCACCATCTTAACCAATTTTCCGTGTATACTTAGGTGGTAATATTAAACACACTCGTAAATACCCACAATGCTGTGAAATTGTCACCACTGCCCATCTCCAGAAGTCATCAAAAAAAAAAAAAAAAAAAAAAAAAGCTAAAGGGAACCAGTCCTTGCCTCTAACTCCCCACTTTCCTTTCTCACCCTCTCCTTACCTTCCATCTGTGCAGTCTGAGCACCTGGAAGGTCCAAGGGTAAGGCATTCCCTCATACCACAGTCTCCTGGTAGCTTCCAGGGCTGAAACCTCCAGGTGAGAACTGGGCCCCTCCAGTCACCCAAGTGAAATGATGGAGACGTTTACATGATGGCATCTGTTCGCTTAGGGGAAGACTGGAGCCTCCAGAGAAAACATAAGCTTGAGCTGTGTTTCAGCCTGACCAGAGGCTTACAGTCTTGTCCAAGTGGCCTGGGGACTGCTTGGTTCTGTGTTTTTCACGCAAATACTTCTCTCAAGTCCCCGGTGATTTAAGACAGGTGGTTCTATGGAAAGTGCCAGAGTTTTGTTTGTTTTATTTTGACTTTGCTGTTGCTTTTTTGAAGTCAGGGACCAAGCATCAATCTCTCTCTCTCTCTCTCTCTCTCTCTCTCTCTCTCTCTCTCTCTCTCTCTCTGTGTGTGTGTGTGTGTGCGTGTGCGTGCTCTGTATGTGCTCTGCCACTGAGCTACACCCCTAGCCCCAAGTTTTGACAGCAGAGCCCTGTGTTCAAATCCCAGCTCTGCTATTTACATTCTGAGCTAGTGTGTTATAGACTCCCTGGGAGTGGAGTCATTCTTTTTCAAACAGAAAGAACATCTACCTAATGAGTTTCCTGCAAGGGCTTTTTGTGAGCTAATGAGCACAAAGGCCTGGTGCTGAATAGGCTCCGCAAGCGGGAGGCTTACCGGCTTACCCTCCTCGGCTAGCCTGGTGAGTCCCAAGGTTTGCTCACAGCTGCGCCCTCCCAGCGCAGGGGCCTCCTTGCTTCAGGCACCCACATTTTGGTTGCTTCTGCTAACCAGCACGACATCTGTTGTCTAGGCAAAAGTAGAGAGAGGATAGAAGATACAGTAGCTAGGAGAGGCATGTTTGAGGGCAATCTGATCTACTCAACAAAACTCTCCCATACAGGGAGAGGGAAAGGGAGGAGGAAGAAAAGGAGAGA